AAAATTTTAAGAGGGAAACTATATCGTATTTTAGAGAGAGAAACTACCTGAAATTGTTTAGAGAGATAAACTATCTCAAAAAATTTATAGAAAGAAACTATCTAAAATTTTAAATTTTAGAGTGACAAGGTATCTCAAAATTTTAGAAAGAGAAACTATATCAAATTTTAGAGAGAGAAACTATTTCAAATTTTAAATTTTTGAAAGATAGTGTATTAAAAATTTAGAGAGATAAACTATCTAAAAATTTAGAGAGAGAGAGAGAAAAGATTTGCATTTTTTAAAAAAAGATATTCCGGGCAATCCAAACATGAAATTTGCATTTTCTTGATTCCTACCGGATCCGATCGAAACAACATACACCATATTTCAAAAAAAGTCTGATTTTTCCAGAGATTGAAAAATCCAGGGATCCAAACGGGCCTTGAGTGAAATTTTTTCCTTTTCGCATTGTTAACCTGAGACAAAGAGAGAGGACTGAGAGAGACTATAGAAAATACGATCCATTTTAGCGATGAAAATAATGTTTTCCCGAAAGACAAAAAACTCATGGTTGCGCACTAGACAAATGTGTATGGGGGTATAGAGACACTACACATGCAAGCATGTGTGGTTCAGATTTTGCCGTCTTCTTTGTATTTGCCAAATGAGGCCTTCACTTTTGTTTCCGTGTTTTAACATTAACAACAAAATGTGCCACTGTACCTGTGAGTGGAGTGGGTATGCAAATAGGGGGCTACCACTCTACCCATACCCCTTTTAAACTCCCATCTGCATCCATACTTTCTACACCCTCAAATTCATATTCCCAACAATGTTTTGGGTGAGATTAGCAAAATCATGGGTGTGGATAGGAAAATGCCAAACAAGATACATGCATGATGCATCAATGTATATTCATGTGATTTGTTCAGCATGCGTCATGTTAAGTGTGTGAACACAGACAAGACACAACATTTTTCTTTTTTTTTGGGGTAATTCAATGAGAAAGACTTCCTTTTATCTGTTTTTTTAGACACACAGCACTTGTGTGCACTGGCATTGCGTTCGTGCTGGATATTAAAGCGGAAAGTATAAGTTCTTGTGTAGACATGGATACTTGTGGAAGTATTTCATAGGGTTATGTTCGTTGAGTACATTAGTTGTTTAAAAATTAGCGTTTTAGATACGACAAGACTATACATCATTTCAGGTGCCCCTTAAAACCCCTTGTGAGCTTAACATCAAATAAAAAGCAGTCCATAGACATATATATAGAACTAGAGGTGGGCTAATATTTTACATGACATTACATATTTTTACACTATGATTTTAAAAGTAGCAAGATAAAGTGTCAAAGTCTAAGTTTTAAGATATCGTACGTTTGTTTGGTACCAATAAGTGATAAGATGAGAGAGAGTAAACTTAAGTGGTCTGATCATGTGTGGCGCTGGCCCAGTAGAACACTTGTTAGCATGTGCAAGTTAGTTCAAGTGGATGACTCAAAATTGACAAGGGATAGGCTCAAAAGGACATGGTTGAAAGTAGTGAGAAAAGATATGGGACCTATGACCTTACTGAAGGTATGACCCTTAATGGAGCGAAATGATGGACTAAGATTCGTGTAGCTGACCCAAACTAGATGAGAAAAAGCTTTCATAATGATGCTTAGTTTTGGCACGTGGCAAATGATTTAGCCAAAAAGTGGAGTGTCTCTTTCTTACTTTACCCTCTTTTGAGGTGTAAATTGTAATTTTCCTATACTATAATAAATTCCTTTACATTTGTTGGGAAAAAAAAAAGTGTAAAAGAACTGGACACCCATACCTAGTGTTAAACATATCAAATAAGGCAATCTTATTGCGGATTAGATGAGCATGAAACATCATCATTCCTTGCTCCAGGTGTTTAAAAGAGAAAGGTTCATCTAGGCAAAGGAATGGTGTTACAACATTCTCGCCAAAAATAAATAAATAGGAAAGTGATGGGCTCATCTAAACATTAGTGGTAATGGATTACTAGGACTTTCCTGTTTCACAAAAGCTCACCAGGTCCAGTCCACCCAAATAGAAGGTTTTGTAAGCATTTATTAATGGACTCACTTAAGCTATTGGACCCTAATGTATTTTTCATTGGACTCAAGCCATTATGACCAGATCTTTACATTCATTTCTTATTCTTTTTTAGTGTTATTTTTTAAATTTCGTTCTTTGGGGCCTCTAAGTTGGGATTCGAACTTTTGGAGATTGCGTTGTGGTCCTCATGCAAATAGGAAGAAAGAGTAATATTTTTCTTATCAAAATGTGGTCCATTGCACTAGCTATGACTAATATGTCTTTGTAACACATAGCATGGGTACTTTCAAGCAGTTGTGCTACTCTCTCTCTCACACACACATAAGTGGATTCTGAAAATAAAGCACTCCACTTTCAAAATTGGGATGTATTACTGTTGAAAATCTTAAATTGGACTACATTTCAAGGATTTGACTTAAAATTCTAGGGCTAAGTTGCCAAGCATTGACTGAATAGGTAGTGACCCACTTAATGCCGTAAGTTTCTTGAGTTGCCTAGTGGTTGGTCTTCCAAGGAGTTTTAATTCAAAGTCAAACTAGCTCGACTCTATCCATATGATGCAAACATCTATTTACCTATGGAAAATGGTTTGATAGGCCTGCCGCCCTATCAAAATAAGTTCAACCGCACCTAAAAACTCATAAAAAATTGTAATTCAAGTATTGGAAAGACATTTAATCGATCATCTTGACTTGAACATTATGGATGTGAAAAAAATTAGTATTTCAAACTGTAAAAAAATATATATATTTTAATAAAATATCCAGACCGTTTATTTCACCCTAAAAACAAATGTTCAAAGATCCACAAGAAATATAAGATTTTTTTAGTTTCAAATTTTATTTTCAAGTTAAAAATTAATTTTAGAACCATAATGGAGATTTTCGTGGCTGAAAGTTCTTCCAAAATGAGGATTTGAGGTGATGCTTTATTTGAGTTTCATAATGCTTAGGTCTTATAGAAACTTCACCTTTCAACCTGAATTAAATGGCCACACATGATATCTCTTGGGTTGCTAAGGTCTCTTGACTTTCTATATGGCATCTTAGTGATAATGGGAGGTCCATTTAGTGGTCATGTTTGTCTCCCCATGATGTTACCCACTCAAAAGCCTTGAATCTTGACATTTTTGGATGTATCTTAGAGACAAAAGCAGGTTAAGGTCATGAATGTGAACTCATAGCAAGAAAAGTAGGCAAAAGCTAAAAATAGGGAAATTACGCCACTCCAAGATAATTACAATTTTACATATTGACTTACCATAAAAGCAAGGATTAAATTTAATAGAGTGGACCCCAACCTAATAATCACTTACCCATTTCATTTATGGAATAATATTTTATTTTGATTGTGGGGTTGGGCACATGTTTCAACAGGCCTGTGGTCTGTACTATACTACGCATGCTCCCGTCCTCTTGAAAGAGAATCAATGATTTTTTCATCGATTTCTCGTTATAAATGGGCGCCATTTTCTTATGCATAAAAAGCACATATTCCCAAAATAATAAAACTCAATTATTTGAGGGTAGTACGGCCTCTAAATTTTTAGCAATCCAGCCAATGTTTGGACTCCTCCAAACAGAACGTAGGAGGGTGGGAATACTAAATTCGTCCGAAATCCCCAATTTCACAATATTATAATTATATAAAAGAATAGGTCTTTAGCCCCTATTTTAATTTGTCATTTTTTTATTTTTTTTCCTAATGGAAGGTACGGCTTTATAGAGCTGAACCTCTAAACAATCGAAATAAAACACACTTTTAAATATTGTAGAGAAATTTGGTTTTAATATTAGATTTTTTATGATAGCTTTAAAATATATATTTATTTTTAATTATAAAATTTAAAGTTTTAAAAATAGTATTGATCGAGCATATCCATAAAAATTTGAAAATCTTGATATTGACGGTCCAAAAGTACATTACAAGATGCATTATTTTCAAGCATTGAAATCCATTTTTTTTCTTATTTCCATGCATCTTGATATCGAGATGATCAATTTGAAGATATTCGAACATCAAAATGACTTCTTTTAAATTTAAAGATATTTGAACATAAAAAATAACCACTTCTAATAAAAGTTTTGAACTAAACTCTAAGCTCATTGTTGGCTTTATAAAAACTATTTTCTTTTATCTAAGATATAAAAGAACAAAAAAAAAAATCTTTGTAAGACACCCCTAAATCATGAGAATTTTACATAACTACCCTATTGTTTGGAGCCTTGTAGGTTTGTCGGTTTGTGAGCATTTCAATCCAACGCTCAGTTTTCGGATAAAGCACATTAGGGTTAGCAACTGGTGGCCCGTCCCTGGAATAAAGCCACATTAGGGTCAACAACAACGGGTGGCCGGTCTTCGAAAAACCTCTGAGTGCAGGCAGTCAGGGCTTGAGCCGGGTCCGGCTTGGGCCAGCACTGTAGGAACTAGTTTACTTAAGGGCGTCGCTAGCCCCGTCGTGGTCCGGCACTAAGGGGGACTCTTTAAAGAGAGGGCTAGCACTGCCCGCGGCCCGGTCAGTCCTGACCCGTGCAATTTACACATTTACGGGAAACAAAAATCCGAAATGACAAAACAGGAGGGGATTGGTGCCCTCCACTCATGGACTCAACCCCCATATGTTTCCCCAACAGACGCAGACTATTTTTCAATAAAATATTCGAATTAGACAATTCTTTTAGAGAGAGAAAGTGGAGCGAGCAACCCTAGCACCGACAATAAGAGGTCCAGATTCATCGAGAACGAGAACGCACAGAATCGACGGTTCAGAATACTCCATCCTTGGAACCAACGGACGAGATGACCCATCCATGGAGAGGAAGCATCTAAAAGTCAATCGCCTGGTTTCGAAGCTATCGACACGTATTCGCCATGAGAATATGAGAAAGAAGGTTAGAGAGAGAGAGAGAGAGAGAGAGAGAGAGGGGGGGGGGAAGAGAAGGGGCGTGGTTTGGTTTTGGTACACTTTTCTCTGTACACAACGGAAGAGTTGTTAGGGGGACCCTGAGATTAGAGGACGAAGCACACGTGTGGCAGATGTAATTCCTGTCAGATTCTAGTTTTTGGAGAGAGAAAGGGAAGATGGGAGTCACAGTGAGAGATAGAGGAAGATGGGTAGCTTGTTATGGATGAGAGAGAGATGGGTTCCTTATATCTTTGTTGATATGTTGTCTTGAGAGAGAAACCAAGAGGCAGAGTTACTGTTAGAGTGAGAGAAGGATAGTTCTGTTGAGGTGAGAGAAAGAGGAACCACTGAGTTTTCTTTCAGATAGGTCATGACACCAGCCCCCATGTCCCATTAACCGTTCCAGTTCGATTTTGTGAAACCTGGTTATGAGAGAAGCCCATTGATTTTGAGAGAGAAATAGGGCAAAGGGTGAGACTGTGTAGGCCAGTATAACCAAACTATTTTATGGAGAGAAAAAGAGAGATTTGCTTGCATGATGTCATGGCCTTCAAATTGCCTGTCGATTCTTCTGTGCTTGCTGCGGAGGAAACCCATTTTCTCTCTCTAAAGCCTCAGAGCCTTTGAAGCTTTCTCTCTCTAACAATTTGCGGTAAGAAAGGGGGTAGTGGGTTATGCTGACAGAAGAGAGTGAGCACACATGGCCAATTGTATAACCGTATGCCGCTGTCTGTGCGTGCTCACTCCTCTTCTTGTCAGCTTTATCATTTCCCGCTATTGCTTTGTGCCATGACCTCCTGCATTCTCCGTTCTCTCTCTAGATGAATCCTTTCTCTCTCTAAATGAATCCGGTCTCTTTTGGGTTTCCGAGATGCACCATCCGCACCCATTTTCATTCGTTCCAAGGCAAAAACAAGAGAGAGAAAGTAATAAACAAATGGCACCTCATTATGCGTGGGGGCACGCGCTGGTCTCCCCTCCTGGCCCTATTCCTATCCTTCATTTCAGTCTTTTCAGGGTTTCTCTCTCTAGGAGGATATGCTTCTGGTACGACTTCGGACTAATGGAAAAATGGTGAGAACCTCGACAGTTTTGCATGAAATTTGGTATGTTTTCTCTCTAAGTCCCACTATCAGATTTCTCACTTCTTGCTCAGTGGAATTAGGTATTCCTACTCTCTTTCTCTATCTTGTATCCGGATTCTCGCTCTATCTTCTCCATGAGATTAGGTGTGTGCATACTCTCTCTCAATGAGATTCGGTATCGGTTTTCTCTCTCTTCTCAGTGTGATTAGGTATGCGTTTTCTCTCTCTTGTCATGGTATTAGGCTTGTGTGTTCTAATTTTCACAATGCTAGGTGTAATCTAACTCTCTTTAGGCTTTGTTTAACTCTACAAAACTTCCATGCAAAATCTGTTGTAGGTTTTTTAAGGTTAATGAATTTGAATGCAAATTCTGGTGTGGGTTTTTTAAGGTTAATAGATTTGAACCAGATGCATTGTATATATTCAGAATTGGGTTTTTTTTTTTGTGTTTTTGATGGGATAATAGGCATGGATCTTTTAGATGTGCTTACTTTAGGGGCATTTTAACGGTTCAGTGTGAGATTGCATTTGAGGAGTTAGTGGATCTGTAGATGTTCCTGCTTTCTAGAGAGAGAAAGAGAGAAAAAAGAAAGTTTAGATTGGGCTTTCAGACTGGAACACAGGAGACAGGTTAGTATGCAATCCTCTATATTTCTCTTTCTTCTTTTGGTGGGTTTTATTGGTTGTTTGTTGATTTTCTTTCTAGCCAACTCACTTTTTGGATGAAGTATCCAAATTACTTCTTGTTTTTGTGCAATAAGGACTCTCTCTCTCTCTCTCCCCCCACACACCCACCTCCATCTTGTGATCCTTACTGGTGATGATATTGTTTGGAGCTCTTCATTCAAAAAACCAGAGTTTTTCATTTGATATTATAGCTAGCAAACATCTAAAATAATTGAAGGAAAGAGAAGCACAAAGAAGATACACCTTAAATTATCAGAATCAGGAAGTTTAGACTTTAGAACTCATGTGATACTACCCTTTAATGTGTTCTAAAGCTACTATAATATCTGGTTTGACCAGCCAGGGTGGTGTGTGTGTCTCCTTTGTCCTCAAAAAGTTCGTCTAGAAATTACTTTTTCAAGGTTGAAGGTTCTCTGTAGAGAATTTTGTTTTTTTCTTGTGGGCACCTAGTGAACTATTACTCCATACTAGATCTTTTCTATTGTTTTGAATTTGCATTTTCCATGCTCCAATGCAGGTTGTTTTAATTAAAAGAGTGGATCATGGTTTGGCATTTCTGCAAACTATGGTGTCTCTCATATAGTTTTTTCTACATTGGATTAGGAGGTGGGATTCTTTTAACCATATGTTCTTTCCATTCACAATAATGGCATCTGGCATTATCTTCATGTATTGTTGTTTTATGGAGTGATATTTTCTATTTATGATTACTTATCCTCGTTATTTATAATTCTTGTAGTGGAGGCATTTGCTCTTCTTTTACTTCCTTTGATATTTGAAGTCATCTGATCGCCGAATTTCATGTGCTGAGTAGGTGATTGTTCATCTGACTTTACTTTAATCAACATTTTATGTTCAGGCTGCTTAATACATAAACCTATTCATCTTCTTTAAATAATTTCTTTGGTTGCCTGGAGTTTGTAGCCGATTGTTTGTTTTTGTGTCTTGCTGAATAGCCAAAAGTAACGGTGGCCATTATGCAATTTTTTGGAGAAATTGAGGCCTACAGGTTTTTGCTATCATAGTTTGTTTCCTTTTCCTTTTCAATAATGAATGTGTTAGTAAGTCCATGACACCTATGGGTTCGTAGTGCCTAACTTGAAGCATTTTGGGACAATAATGGCCATCTTATGACCCTTAGGCTTTGATGGATTTCTAAAGAAAATATCATATTTGTGAGATATTTTGTCAATATTGCTGTATCAGCTATTTGATTCTTGTTACATGCAGTTGTTTTCTGCTGCTATGTGGTCATGTAATTGAATTTTTGTATTCTTTTGCATCTGTTTTTTCTCTGTGGCTATCTAGAATGAACCGAATACATGGATACGGAAAGTTGCAAGGTTTTGGAGGCTGTACATCGTGGGAATGCTTGTTTCCTCTATGGAGTTGTATTGGTACCAAATTCTACATATGGGTAGGATCCTTTTGGTAATAACAGAACATGTTTTAGAAAATTGTATTGGTTTCACTCTAGAAAGAAATTGAGATGGCCTTTTCAGACTTTTAGTGATTTTCCACATGTATTTTTTCTTTATTTATTCCCTACAATATGATGCCATAGATATTTATATCTAATTTAGCTCCATTTGTGTTCATTGAGAACTTTCTTGTGACACAAGTTCATCAAATTGACATTTCAGTTTTCTGTTCATTCTTTAGTTATTGGTTGTGGCTCTATTTGAAATATATTTATCCCCAAAATGGGAATAAATGGATTTAGTCTGAATTGATATCAATCCATAATCTACCCGAATTCTCTCTATTTGGAAACAAGCAAAAAAAGAAAACAAAAATGATTGACCCAGCATCCCCTCTTGCAGCAAATGTGGAGGGCCAATCCTCCTATCATTCCTATCATCGGTAGAAGGATCTAAAACTTGGAGAATAGAAAGAATTTGCTCCAGGTAAATGCCCCTTGCTCCATTCACACACATGTGCATGTTTGGCTTAATGCGTTATAAAGTGGGACACATCAACATGTACAAAGTGAGGGGAAATAAAAGATAGCTTAGATAGATATCAGTGGGTTTTGGGTCATTTTACTTCTCTTTTTTTTTTTTAATTCCTTAAGCACTTTCCCTATATGATTAGCAGTTAGTTCGTTTTTTCTCTCACTTCAAAAAATAGTGGTTCTTTATTGAAAATTTATTATTTATTATAAGAAACTTGATGTGGTTCTTTTTTATTCGTTTGGTCCACTATGTGTTTACCTTGGTCGCAACAATTTATCATGCATGATAAATCTTCAGGAGGTTATGGTTGTTATTTTCACACTTCAAATTACATTAAAAGTAACTTACTTGCCGTAGAGCAGTTTTTGCTGACCCGAAAACTTGACCCGACTCGATAGGGACCCAAATCATGTTGACCCTTGACCCCAACTGGTTGATTAGACTGGGTCATTAGATAAATCCATAATTATGACCTTAAATAGTAAAACTGTTCTTAAATGTTTTATAAAATAATAAAATATTCATTAAATATCCAGGAATTTGAAATAATGCAACATTTGAAACATATTAATGATTACATTACCTTATATCAATATTTAACTAGTAAAAACTGTTGCGAAATGTTTTATAAAGTAATAAAATATTCATTAAATATTCAGGAATTTGAAATAGTGCAAAATGTCAAACATATTGATTATTACAATACTTTATATCAATATTTAACCTGCAATGAAAAATTCGTAGCAAACTTGATAATGTGAATTTCTACATCTAGTGTGTAACGATTAAAAAAACCTTGAGAATCAGTCTACAAAGGGCAACAATTTCAATCTCTTTGGTATTTAATTAAAAATACATATTAAGGACTGAAAAAATCCACACATCAGTCCATTACATGAAACATATTTCCCTTTTTTCTCAAAAAGCAATACTATAAAAATATGATTTTCTCGAATTAGTTTCTCCAAAACTGAATAAATAAAGAAATTTTGAGAAAAATAAATTGTCATTGCCTACCTTCCTCTTTTTGCTTTTTGGCTCCTCTTTCACCCAACCTCATGCCTTCTTTTCGATGTCTCGAAAATTGAAACAGGTCATCTCCCAAAACCTTCTAAAATCTCCCCCACGCCCCCCCCTCCTCCCAAAATAAAGACTGTGACTTTTTTTTTTGTCTTTGGTTCATTGTTAACAATGAGTTGGCAACTAATGATTGATGCCTCGAATGAAGGAAACGTTTGGAGGGACTCAAGGGACAAAGGCAGGTTTAGTTTAAGCATTTAGGATAAAGTTTCTAAATTTTTGAAATGTTCTCACTCATTGTCAAGCATGGAAAGCACAAGACCTTTTAGCCATTCAAGGTTGAATTTCCTAATGTCTTCATTGTTAAACATAGAAAGCATAAACGCTTCAGGCATTTGGTATTATATTTAGCAATTCCTGATCTTCAAATATGGAAAGCGCAAATCGAATAGTGTCACAAAAAGTGGTTGGACCCAGTAAAGACCTGGCTTGAATTTTCTTCGGGTTGAGATGACCCGATCCGTCTTTGAAGACCTGATTGGGTCTGCAAACTATGCTGTAGAGAAGTAATTTCTAATTTATCTTTTTCGTATTCTATTTGTGACCTATAGATATTAATTTTATCTTTGTCACGAGGGGTTTGGAGATTGAAGTCGTGGCTTCTAGCATGGCAATATATTTCATGTTGATTCGAGAACTAATTGGCATAGAGACTTGCTGTCCTCTACCTCAACATTATCTCATATGTTTGATTATGCCAAAAACTTATGGATATACCGATTCCTGAATTTTCTTTGCTGATTCTTTGAAATAGAAACCCTCTATAGTGGCTATGACAGAAAGCAACAACATTGACCTTAACCGCTTGGAAAATATAGCTAGCCCCCAATTGAGCGAGATGTGAGGAAGGGAATTTCTCTCGAAGGTTACTGATCAAAGACATCCGCAGATGCATGATGAATATGTAGCTTGCTTTTAGAGCCTAGCCAAGTTGGAGATCTACTGGTTGGGAGGTTGGGGATTCCACCTTGAGGTGCCCAAACCCCAAGCATCAAAACAGTTGCACGGTCTCCAATTCCACTTGGATGTTTTGAACTTCATTCCAGTGCATCTACATGGAATCTGGTTAGAACAAGTGGCGAAGTGATGCATCATAAGTAATGGTGATGATAATTGGAGATATGTTCTTGCCAATCCATATGGGTAGATCCTATCTTCCAAGTTGAACTCTAAGCTGTGGATTGCTTGCCCACAAATAGTGATCCAAATCTTAGCAATATAGTGGTTTGACTCACAGTTATTGATGGATGCTATTCATCAATATCAGTATTGTAAAGGCAATCCCGACAACATCTTTTGGGATTCTTTGAGTTAATAGATTGATGAATCCCTCATATATGGATAAGGGAACAATGCTGGAGAAACTTCAGCTAATACAAGAACCTCATGACTGCACCACCCTAGGCTGCCATGGGTAGTGGCATCTTATTTTGGCCATGAGTTTGCAACTACTCCTCTCTCATATCTTTTGTAATCATTAGTGGGGTAGGCTTTAATATCCATGTGATAACATGACGGGAATCTGGTGAGGTTTGTTGCTAAATCCATGCATTACCCATTAAAGTATTTATGCTTTTACCTTTGTCTGATTCTTTATTATGCAACCTTCCCCACCAAAAATTAAAACATGCAATAACTTGTACTGGAAGACTCCAGGATGGGGATGGTATGATGAAGCTTCGCTATGGTTTTCATTGAGCATTTATATCATAAAAATTTAATTTTGAACTAATTGTGATTATATCATGGATGGTATGGACTCGATTTTCCTAGTCAAAATTCCATAAACAACTCTTAGCCCCCAATATTATTTTAAATGCTTTAGCATATGTTCCAGCAAGTTGTCCATGTGTTCGACCTATACATAATCTAGTTGTAGTCTTTATGTGTAATTTTGTTTGCGTTTACACTAATAGACATGCTGACATTTGATTTAGTGGAAGTGCAATCTGAATTGCTATTGCAAACTATTTATACACAATTAAACTGTCTTTGCTTGATTGGATGCATCAATTCATTGGTAATGTTTGTCTTTCATATTTGTTAAGACTATACATGTGATTTATTTTATAGATATAGATTTTAATAATTTTTATATTTGAATAATTCATTGGTGTATATATTGTTGGGAGGAAGTCATTTGCAATTTTTGTAGCATTCACTGTTTCAAAAAGTGGACTGCCCAGCGCCTGGGCGGCCACCTTGGCGGATATCCCTGGGCGCCCGCCTGAACCAGCCTAGGCGGCCGCCCAGGGCCTGCACCCCACCTAGGGGTGGAAATGAAGCTCTGTGAGGGTATTTTTTGGTCATTTTTTAATACTAAAAGGGAAAAATTGTGGGTGGGTTTTTGGTTCATTTGAAACCTAAAACCCATTAGAGGCTATTTTAGAGAGAGAACTCAAAAGCAAATATTTTTTTACTTGGCCGCCCAGGTTCTGGGCTCCCGCATAGGCGTTGGGCGGCCTGGAACCCCCCGACCGCCTTGGTCCTGCCTAGCGCTTTTTGAAAGACTAGTAGCATTAGATATTCTATCAATCATAATCAACGTTTAGAAAGGCAGTGCCACTTCATTTTAGTTGCCCAACTCAATCTGTTATGTGGAATGTTGACTTTCAATATCCTGAATTTTTTGGTTTTGAATTGAAAATTTAGTGGTTCTCTTATCAACTCCAACTCTACTAACCAAATCGTCATTTTTCCCATGACATTCAACTTGGTTTTGAATTTTTGGACCCTGATTATTATTATCATGCTGCAAGCATTAAGTTGCATGGGACATGAATTCCAAAAAGGATATCAACAAAAGAAAAGAAAAAAATAAGGAAAGAAAAGGGAGGGAGGATCACTTTGAATTAACTTACTACTACTCTCTCATACCATGGGGATATGTAAGTGTAGACACAAAACATGGACTTGCTGAAATTTAGAATGGTAGAGCCAATGTTTTAAAAAGCAGACCGCCCAGCGCTTGGGCGGCCGCCTAGGCAGTCCAGAAGGCTTGAGCACATCTCCCAGGCCTAGGCAGCCTAATTAAGCGGGCGCCCAGATTAGACAGATATCCCTAGGCGTCCGTCTAGGTGTCAGGGAACCCGCCTAGGGCTTGCGACCCACCCAGGGGCAGAAATGGTCCTCGTTGAGGGTATTTTTGGTTTTTTTTTAATACTAAAGGTGCACAATTGTGGGTTTTAGGTTCATTTGAAACCTAAAACCCATTAGAACCTATTTTAGAGAGAGAAAAACCCAAAAGAAATAAATCTATTGCGCCGCCCAGGTTCTGGGTGCCCGCTTAGGCGCTGGGCGGCCTGGACCCCTGACCGCCTAGTGCTTTTTGAAACACTGGGTAAAGCTAGTGTTATAATTCTCGCTTGTTTAGATGGATGCTACCAAATTCTTCAACTTTGGTCTCTTCACCAAAATGCAGTTAAGATTAATCAAGTTTAGCCTTTATCTTTTTTTTTTTTGCTCCTTGTTAGCAGAATGCTTCTTCAACCTTCTTAGCATTTTTGACAAAAACAATGCAAATATTTTTCGTTCTCTACTTTTTATAGAGATTTTTTTTTTAGGAAAAAGGGAGCCTTGTAGCTTGTCACTTAGCTAAAGGTTCGAACTCATTTGCTTCCTTTCAAAAAGTGAAAGCGGACTCAATAATTAGACTAACAATTGTGGTTAGTACTACCAGCAAAATTGTATGGAAAGTAGATGATAGATCTTGACATTGGAGCTCTATCCTATTGCACTGAGGTACAAGAAAACCAAAGAACATGCTTTTAAGAGAATGGGTAGATGATAGATCATTTTGTTTCCTCAAAATGAGTGTATATTTGTATATGGGATGACCTAACATGTGGATCACGAGATCTTGTTTTCTAGATGTTCGCCCCAGTATTGTCCCACTTATCTAGGCAGTGCCGTAAATATGGAACTTCCTTTTCCAATCCAGCGATTCTCAATGTAGTTCTTTATCTCCGGAAAGAAATAGTCCAGTGATTCTTGTTTTCCATCAAAATGATCTTTTAGGTTATGCATCAATATGAACGACTTAGAAACATCAATTTAAGTTCAAATAGGCATTACGCAGATGACTACAAATAGCTATTCTGGCTAACATCTGACCTCCCCATTTCATGAAGTATTGACCCGTTTAATTAAAAGAGAACCTGATATTTAGGAAATCATATCCTTTGCAACCCCATACCCGTCTTACTTTAATGGGTATATAGGGAAACATGTGTCGGCATATTCTTTTGTGATGATGTGCACATCGTGTTGTTGACCATCTCCGCACTTTTATTTGTTTTGATGTGATCCAAGTGGATTCAAGTTCCTGAGTCCTTGCAATTGATTTTGTATATTTTCCATATTCTCACTCCACTATTCTTATTCATCGCATCAAATAACTCTTGCCCAACTTCTATCTTGCCATCCATAAATGCATTGGGAGTGATCAACAGGTATTAATTTATAATGATTGTACACATTAAAATACCCTAAAAAGATGAACTGCTAGCTGACCCCATTACCAAGATCAATTAATATTTTTTATGTGCTTTTCTTTATGAGCAGGGATCCATCTAGAATGACCTTTTCCCAAGTGCTAAGAGTGGTGAAGTTGCATTGGTTTAAAGGTGTTAAGGTGATGCATTCAAAGGCAATGACCTTCTGAAGCATAGTGTGCTCTAGGTGGCTTTCCTTGGTAGTTTGATGGGTAACTTCCTTCCCTTTCTCTACATTCAGATTTTCCCTTTCCTGCTCTAATGTTTTTCCATTTGATAATTTCTTCATTTGATTGGCATTTTAGGAAACTAGAATTCCAGTTAGCGCTTGTATTATAATGGGGCCTGATTAACTAAAATTTTACTTTTACCTCCTTCCAAGAAATCATTGGCTGGCAAGTTTGGCATTTTTTAAAACAATTCCTAAGATGTAAAAGAGCTCTTCATAAAACTTTAGGATCAATTAAATTTTTTTAGATTTTGAAGCAACTCCATTTGAGTATTAATTATCGAGAGATTTAATTAATTTATAACCTTTAGTAAGAAAGAGAAATCATGGCTACCGAGAATATAAATTACCAAGATTCAATATATATATTATAGCGAGAACGAGAAGAGAGGGGGGGGGGGGAACAATAAGACCTTATACCCCTGTTACAAGGAGGCTCAATCAGCCTTGGCTGTCGGACGTGAAATCGTGGGGCTAGGGGTTCCCATTAACTAGCTCAAAAACTGAATAAGAAAATGTCACACTTTGTGGCCAAGTTGTTAGATTTATTATATAATGCATATGAGTGCTAATAACCTTGTGTATATGTGTGTGTGTGTGTGGATTTTTCTATTGTTAACACACTATAAAATCTTATATGTTACATTTTAAAAACGGTGTGAACTGTTAAATTATCACAGTTTCCCTTTTAGTTACTCAATGCTTCTAAAATGAGTAAGAGCTTTTTTGTTAATAGAAAGAGTATTGTCGATATTTTCATTAAAAGACAAGGGTAATTGTGGAGTGAAGTTTTAGGTGCTGTATTAAAATAAATGCCTTTGTCTTTCAGTGAATATTTCAAATATGCTATTTGTTGAGATGAAAAACATACCCTTTATCTTTTAGTGCAAATGTCAACATTACTCTTTCTAATGACAAAAATATTATTACTCATTCAATAGAAATGTCCTAAGGGGCAACTGAAGTAATTTTGGCAGTTTACAA